CGCCGCCGCCGCCGCCGCTTTCCTGGGTGCTGTCGCCAGGAGGGCTGGGCCCTGGGAGCCCGCTTTCGTGTGGAGCCCGGAGTCGAGCTCCAAGAGCAAGCCGGCCGGCTCTGACAGCGACCCGGGCCAGGCCTGCGGTGGCGGCGGGCGGCCGGGGCAGCGCCCGGTGGCGAGCCGGCGCGAGGGCGAGGGCCGGGGGCGTCTGGGGGGACGGTCTTGTTGCACTTGGCTCCTTGAGCCCTCTGGCCCGGGCTGCTGGGCGATCCGTGGGCGTCCGGGAGGGCGTGTAAATCGTTGGCGGGGTCCCTGGCGCAGTGGTCGTGGTACGGGGTGGGGTCTTTCCTCGCCCCTAAGCCCACCATGCCCTCCTCGTCTCCTCTCCCTTCCGTGAAGAGTGGTGAGTAGGTTTTGGGTGTGTTGCCTGGTGAAGCGAGTTGTAGACATCCAAGACTGCCCTGTTGGACATGCCTGATGGCATCCTATATCGCGGTAGCTTTTAGGAATAGAGGAAAAGTACTCTAACCCCCCGCCCCCCCCACCCCAGCTCTACGCTAGAGGCTTCAGGACAAAACGATTTTACTCCAGCCCCTCAGTATCCATTGTTTTGTACCATCCTCCTCCCCCGCCCCTTGCCTAGGTAAAAGAATAATGACTCCAGACCACTAATTGCCCTTCCCCCTTGAAATCAGCAGAGGGTTTGTGTTACTGTGTTAGTATGGATTTACAAACAGGTGAAATGAATACCGATTTGGGAGCTGGAAAGAAGATGCTTTTGTGTGTGTTTTTAAGCTTTCAGCCCTTACAGTTGCTGATTCGATTTTCTTGTCTGTTGCTTTGTAGCATGATGGGGGTGATGAGAATAAAAGAGGAAGCGATGTTTTGCAACCTACCCCAAGAAATGTTTTCTAAGTCTCTGGGGATGCTGAAGCAAAATTGGGTTGCAGATGTGGACTGTATAGTATTTGCCTCCATCATAACTATCAACAGTCTATATCTAAGCTTACACCTGTGCAGTTTTGTACACTTCTTAAATGTCAGCAGCTTCTAGTATCAACTCAGAGGGATTACTGTATCTAAAACTTAATACTTGTTATGTTTTTCAGAATCCTAGAGTACATTTGTGTAACCAAGTATTTTTGTATCTAAATGTAGCATCAACACTGAAAAAATTGTCTTAATTTTAAAGACCTCTGTTTATTAGCGTCCTAATCTCTGCCCTCACTCTTCTAAGTCATAGCCTTTAAAATGGTTTGTTACTTTGTATTTGAAGAGATTTAGCTATTGGGTACAATTAGTAACATTTGGTAAGCTTATATTTATAGTTTGAATATATCACGTGTTGAGGTTTTTCTGTGTGACAGTGACAAGAATTTTTAGGAATGAAGAATGTAAATGACCATTTCCTACATGCGGAACTTATCCTAAATCTGATCAATCTTTTATATACTTGTTTGGACATAAGGTACACTGTAAAACTTTAATTATGAACATACATTTGAAATATAGACTATGAACATGAATAAAAGCTTTGTGTAAGGTTTGTAACTTTCACATGGCTTAAATGTAATATAAAGCTAACAGGTACAACGAATTCCTTTTTTTTTCCAGTTTATTGGGAATTAATTGACATACATCACTATATAAGTTTAAAGTGTACAGCATGGTGGTTTAATTTGCAGATATTGTGAAATAATTACCATAATAGGTTCAGTTAATCTATCTTCGCATATAAATACAATAAAGAAAAAAAGGAAAAAAATTCTCTTTGTGATGAGAATTCTTAGGATTTACTCTGACAACTTTCCTATACATCATAAAGCAGTGTTAGCAATAGTCATCATGTACATTACATCCCTATTACTTATTGTGTGACTGGAAGTTTGTACCTTTTTATCACCTTCTTCTAATTCCCTGCCCCCAACTTCCCATCCTCCACCTCTGGTAACCACAAGTCTGATCTCTTTTTCTGTGAGGTTTTGTTTGTTTAGATTCCACATCTAAGTGAGATCTTACAGTATTTGTCTTTCTCTGTCTGACTTATTTCACTTAGCATAATGCCTTCAAGGCCCATCTGTGTTGTAGCAAATGATAGGATTTCCTCTTAAAACTATATTCTTGAAATGCCAGTATCGAGACATGACCTGGCCTATCTCTAAAGTTACTACTTTTTCCCAAGACGTTTTTTCAGTTTTTGAAGAAACTACATTTATGTCAGGTTGGCATTGTTTTCTGATTTCTCATAGTTACTATAATTTTAAAGTGCTTAAAATTTTCTCTTATTTTTATAAATTGTTATGAATTAAAGAGTCACATTGAGATACCTTAATAGCTTGCAGCAGGATTATTTTTTAGTTTTTGAACTGCCATATTTAGAAAGTCTATCAGAGCTGTGTTTTGATAATTGTAGCAAGTAAGAGCCACACACAACTTGTGAACTACAAACCTTTCAGAAATTTGAAACATCGCTCTTTTTGAAAAGAACAACAAAATTATAAATTCTTTTGTTAGACTTGCTGCAATTATGCCTTTAAAATATTACTGTTTCTTCAGTGTCTTGGGACAGGGCTTGTTCCATGTTCAGAGAGACAAAAACTGGAATTCTCTGTAGGATACTCCCAAAGATGGTTTCTGAATAACTGCGGGTATATTTTTTGCCTTGGCTTACCCATGCAGATTGTGGAGGAAGAGTGAATAAAATTGGAATTCTTGATTTTCCAGGCAGTTAAATTGCAGTCATATTTGTTTTGAAGATATGCTGGATTATCAATGTCTGTTGTGTAACTTAATATTTCTGTAGGACTTATGTTCTGTAAACAGTTTAATTTTCAGATTTTTTTCTAGTAAGCTGATATTTAAATATAAAAATAATCTGTTGTGTTTTTTAACTAAAAAATATACTCTAACCTGTATCTGCAGATACAAAGATGAATATTTTTTGGAGGTCGAAGGTTAAATTTAAATGAAAGAATATATCTTTAGAATTCAGTTTACTGTATCATTCATGTATCATTTATATATGAAAAAGCATAAAACCTATGCTTATAACAAAAAAGAATCCAAAAAGAAAACTAGACTCCTTTCCCCCCCAAAAAAACCGTAAAAGACAACAACCAAACAAATTGACCCATAAGTCCTTCATTGAGTTCTGAGGTTTATAACTTGGTCTTGCTGGAAGTGTTCTTGAACTAGTTTATAAAATATCAATTAGGAGAGAAAACTTAGATATAAAATGAACACTTTGACATTTCTCACTAGTAGACCTGTAGGAAATTGGTAAATATATTGTTATTGATTAGTTAGAAATTGGCTGCAGTTATCAGCAGACTGATACATTAAGTACTTTTATGTGGTACTTGAGAAATGAGTACTGCAAATATTAAATTGATTGCTAGTTTGTTTATTGTTACATTATGTACCTTATATATTATCCATTAGGCATATTATAATTTAAGGCTAAGTCTTCCATATATATATTTATACATATAAAATTTGTTATCTTGTTATACCTGTCTTCTGAATTTTGTCTGCTTGTTATACTGCATTAAAGTTATGCCCTAAAGATCTTTCTGGAAATATTTTCTCTGTTTATATAGTAGTTAAAGTTTTTTATTTTCCTATCTCTCTGTCCACACTTTTAAAATTCTGAAAAATATATACAATACAAGATGACCTGTGGTGTGCTTGAACTTGATATAGTGTTCTGAAATGTAATTGTCAATCAGTGTAGGTTGAAAGGAACACGCATAAGTCTAAGAGACTGGTTTGTGTTCTAAAATATGTAGTCACATTATTTTAAGGTAAACTGTGTTCATTCTGTCTTTGTTGGGTATTTCCTCCAGTTCAAAACCTTTTAGCAAATCGAAGTTCTAACACTTGAAAAGAATATTCTAATAACAAAAGGGCTTTTCAGCTTTTGAGATCTTGGTACATATGTGCTTTTTAAGAAAGTATGAAGTTCCCATTATAAAGATTTGAAAGAACTAATTAGATTTCACACCATATATCTCACTGCAACTTCTCTAAAGATCAGAACTGGTTGCAAAAAGTAGTACATACAAAAGGAAAGGGATCTTTTATCAGGAAGAATGAACTTATTGCTTGAAGCTAAAACATGATGAGACCTTTAAAGGGTATAGTTGGTCCCTATGTGAAATGAACCTGAAAGACGTATTTGGCATGTCTGTCTTCTCATGTCTACAGCAGTGTAAACACTCACAATTTAAGCACTTAATTTGCCCTCAAATACTATTTATTAATTCTACAATTTTAATTGTTTACAATTACAAAGGTAAATCTTTTTTTCTTTTAGTTTTTCTAATGCTTTGGAGATAAAGTGGGAATGACTGGTTTGACAATGATAATGTCTGAATTTGGAGTGAATTTCATCAGTTAAATTTGGGCTTTCTCAGTTTTTAGTTTTGTGTTGTACAACACTCCTTTCTGCTTTCAAGATTTTCAGTTTTGCAAAATTGTCTTTATGTTAACGTTTAAATTTTGTTCTGTAACTTTTTTACTAACTACAGTCTCATATCCATTGTCA